TGAAGATTAGAGCATCGGATGTCCATAAGATAGCTTTTAGGACTCGGTATGGTCATTACGAGTTCTTAGTGATGTCATTTGGCTTGACGAACACTCTATTAGCCTTTATGGATTTGATGAACAGAGTGTTCAAGCCTTATTTGAATTCCTTTGTGATTGTCTTCATTAATGATATTCTGGTTTACTCTCGTAGTAGAGATGAGCATGAGCAGTTACCTTTTTGGATCATTTTGTGTCTTATAATGGTATCAAGATGGATCCTAAGAAGATTGGGGTTGTTCAGAGTTGGGCTAGACCTACTTTAGCTACAGAGATTCGGAGCTTCTTGGGTTTGGCAGGCTATTATCGTTGTTTCGTGGAGGATTTTTTATCTATCTCATTCCCATTGATCAAGTTGACTCAGAAGGGCGCTCTTTTCAGATGGTTTGATGAGTGTGAGGAGAGTTTTCAGAAGCTCAAGACCGCCTTGATTACAGCCTCGGTGTTGGTGTTGGCCACAGGTTCGGGGTCTTACATTGTGTATTATGATGCATCGCGTATTGGGCTTGGCACAATATTGATGCAGGATGGTAAGGTGATTGCTTACGTGTCTAAAGGTGCATGAGAAGAACTATCCTATGTATGATTTGGATCTAGCAGCCATTGTCCACGTGCTCAAGATTTGGAGGCACTATCTTTACGGCGTGCCATGTGAGATCTACACCGATCATCGGGGTCTCCAGCATCTATTCAAGCAAAAAGATCTTAACTTGAGACATCAGAGATGGTTAGAGTTATTGAAAGATTATGATATCAACATATTATATTATTCGGGGAAGGCAAATGTAGTGGCTAATGCCTTGAGTAAGAAGGTGGAGAGCATGGGTAGCTTGGCATTTATATCGGCGGTGGATAGGCCATTAGCCATGGATGTTCAGGCTTTTGTGAACTAGTTCGTGAGGTTGGAAATTTCAGAGCCTAGTAAGGTCCTCGCTAGTGTTGTGGCGCAATCATCTTTGTTAGAGCGCATCAAGGCTCGCCAGTTTGATGATCCTCACTCGTTGATGTTAAAAGATACAGTGCAGCGGGGCAATGCTAAGAAGTTCGTGATTAGGGAAGATGGTGTTATGCGGCTTCAAGGTCGGATTTCTGTTCCAAATATTGATAGGTTAAGAGAGTTGATCCTTGAGGAGGCTCATAATTCACGGTATTTCATTCACCCAGGTGTCACGAAGATGTATCATGACTTAAAGCAGCATTATTGGTGGCGAAAGATGAATAAAGACATTGTTAGACATGTCTCTCGGTGTTTGAATTGTCAACAGGTGAAGTATGAACATCAGAAGCCTGGTGGGTTAACTCAAAAGTTGGTGATACCGGAGTAGAAGTGGGAGCGCATCACTATGGACTTTGTGGTAGGCTTGCCACAGACCTTGAGGAAGTATGATGTTGTTTGGGTCATTGTGGATCGGTTGACTAAGTCCGCACATTTCATTCCGGTGATGACTTCTTACTCTTCAGAGCGGTTGGCTCAGATTTACATCATGGAGATTATCCGCCTATTGGTGTGCCCATTTCTATCATTTCAACTGTGACACGCAATTCACTTCACACTTTTGGAGAGCCTTGCAGCATGAGTTAGGCACGCGGGTTGAGTTGAGTACCACATTTTACCCTCAGACAAACAGGCAGTCCGAGCAGACCATTTAGATTTTGGAGCATATGTCGAGGGCATATGCTCTATTTATTTTGGGGGGTAAGTGGGACTAGTTTCTACCTCTAGTGGAGTTTGCCTACAACAACAGTTATCAGTCGAGTATCCAGATGGCTCCATACGAGGCCTTATATGGGAGGTGATGTCGTTCTCCAATTGGATGGTCTGAGCCTGGTGAGGCTAGATTATTGGGAACAGAGGCGAACGTGATTTAAGAGTCTTCGTACAACATAGTCTAGGCAAATGAGTTACGCTGATAGGAACGCTGGGGAAGTGGCTTACATAGAGGGTGAGAAGATCATTTTCCGAGTTTCGCCGATAAAGGGCGTGATGCATTTTGGGAAGAAGGGCAAGTTGATCCCGAGGTTTATTAGACCATTTAAGTTCTTGGAGAGAGTTGGGGAGGTTGCTTATAGGCTTGTATTCCCTCCTAGCTTAGTAGGGGTACATCAGGTATTTTATGTTTTCACGTTTCGGAAGTGCCATAAAGATAGGTCACATGTTTTGGACTTCAGCACGGTGCAGCTTGATAAGAATTATACTTATGAGGAAGAGTTGGTGGCAATTCTAAACCGGCAGGTTCAAAAGTTGAGATCTAAAGATATTCCTTATGTGAAAGTGTGTTAGAGAGGTCAGCCGATTGAGGAGGCTACTTGGGAGTCCGAGGTCCGAGTCCGACATGAGGAGTAGATATCCACATCTTTTTACCAGTCCAGGTACATTTCTATGTCCGTTTGAGGACGAATGTTTCTTTTAAAGGTGGAGATTATAATGACCCGATATGTTATTTAGAGTATTAGCTCTCCATTTTATATTTCGTGAATAGCTCTATTTGATGATTTATGACTTGCGTGCATGGTTCGTATCAATTTTCGGGAAATTTAAATGTGAACTTCTAAACAAAATGTGATTTTTGACTTTAGAAATGGCTAGAGTTAATCACAGTCAAGATTTTTGGTAAACAATACCGGATCGGTATTTTGACGATTCTGTAAGTTCGTATGATAATTTTGGACTTATACACATGTTTGGTTGGGATCCCGGGTGACCCGAGGCCGTTTCACCGCTTTATGTGGAAATTTGGAAATTTGAGTTTGCACTTTGAAAATCTTGAGTTTTGATGACCAATTCTTAATTTTTGATGTTACTTTGGTGATTTTAGCTTGCGAGCGAGTTTGTATGATATTACTACACTTGCCTGAATATTCAAGTTGGAGCCCAAGGGGCTTAGATGAGTTTCGGATAGGTTACGGACTGTTTTGCAAAGTTGTTGTGTTTGCTGGTGTTGCTTGTCTACAGATCTCGCATTTGCGAGGTTTTGTTCGCAAATGCGAGCCTCACATTTGCGAGACAATACTTGCATTTGTGATGCTGGGCGGGGGCAGGAAAACTTCGTTTTTGCGAAGTCTTGGTTGCTTTTGCAAAGGTTGGGGGGGGGGGGGGGGTTATCGCAATTGCGATGGTTGTATCGCATTTGCCACACTAGGCAGTGGTTGGATAGCTTTGTATATGTGAAGCTACATTCGCTTTTGCGGAGGATTGGACCTTCACAAACGCGAATGTGTAGTCGCATTTGCGACATTTAGGAGGCTCATGCACGTGTCGCATTTGCGATCAGTGTGTTCGCATTTGCGAATGCAGTTGGGTAAAATATTGGGATTTCGGGACTTAGCTTATTTTACACCAGTTTTAAGACCTAGACTCCATAGAGGCGATTTTTGGAGAGCAACTTCTTCCCAACTTCATAGGTTGGTAACTTAAACTTATTTTCATTCAATTTCCATTACTTTTTCTTCCATGAATTTCGTTATCAAATCTAAGATTTCATAGGGTAGAAATTGAGGTTTTGGGTAGAATTCAAGAATTTTTTAAAATTGAGATTTAGACCTCAAATTGAGGTCAGATTTCAAAATATATCACATATTTGGACTGGGGTATGAATGAGTAATCGAGATTTGATCTTAATCTAGGATTTCGACCACATGGGTCCGGGTTGACTTTTTTTTTTATACTTTTTCCAATTATGTTAAAGACCGAACCTTTTTTGTATGAGGTTAGTTTCTAAAGCTTGTTTTGACTTGTTGAACAATCATTGACTAAATTCGAACGGTTTGGAGGCTTATTCTTAAAGGTCCGCGTTGAGGAGTTGATATTGTTTCGGAAAAAGGTAAGTATCGTGGCTAACTTTGATTTGAGGGAATTATGACTTGATTGTTCTATTTCCTACGTGATATATGTGTGTGAACGTCGTATATGCAAGGTAGCGAGTGTATCCGGGGTGTATTACTTTGTTTTACGTCTTTAATTATACCATGTTTTCATCTTAGTTCATGTTATTATTTGTTAGGTGCTCATACGTGATACATACTTTACTTGATATATATGTGTCGCTTCTTGTTACATGCCTTTAATTGTTACGTGTTCTAGGTTATTTCGTACTTTTAGTTATTGTACGCCTTTATTTGCTACATGTTCTTATACATGATATTAGGTCGATGTTTTTACCTGTCTTATGTCTTTACTTTTCTTATTGACTTTATTTGTTTTATCTTTTACTCTATTATATTATATTGGATTGTCTTAGATAATTATGCATCTTAGTTCCCTTTTATGTTATGTTGTGATATTTGTCGTATTTGGTTGTTATTATATATATTGGATCGGGTTGCACACCGCAACAGTATTATTATATATTGAATCGGGTTGCACTCCGCACTAGTATTATTATATATTAAATCGGGTTGCACGCAACAGTATCATTATATATTGGATTAGGTTGCATGCCGTAACAGTATATTATATATTAGATCCGATTTCACACTGATATTATATATTGGATCGAGTTGGATGCTGCAATAGTATTGTTGTATGTTGGATCGGGTTGCACGTCGCAATAATATTATTATATATTGGATCACGTTACACGCTGCAACATTGTTGCATATATATTAGATCGGGTTGTGCACTGCAACGGTATTGATATTGATATTTGGGATCGGGTTGTATGCTGCAACGGGAAGGATGCTATGTAATTATTCTTGGTTGTTATGCACGAGTACCGTATTATGTTATGAGGTTGTGACGTGTTGTTATTCTAGGGACCTCTGTTATTTACTTCTTTTATTATGTTCCTTATGTAATTATTCGTTTCTTTACACTGTTATTGTTTCAAAGCCTAATACTCATACAGGTTTACAGTAAGTGACTTGTCATAGCATCGTCACTACCTCGTCGAGGTTAGGCTCGATACTTACTGAGTACGTGGGATCAGTCGTACTCATACTACATTTCTATACTTCTTGTGCAGATCCCGGTGTTGCTCCCAGCAGCGTTCAGAGGTGATAGCTCGGACCTTCTCATGAGACTTGAGGTAGTGCTACTTGGCGTCCGCAGACCCTGGGGTCCCCTTCCTATCCGTTCTTTTGTTTATCTTTTATTAGGCGGTTTTGTATTTCCTTTTAGACTTTATATGTAGTATTCTAGTGGCTCATGTACTTGTAACACCAGATTCTGGGAATAGTCTTAGACAACGATAGTTATGAATTTATTATACATTTCATGAGATTTTACTCTTTATTTCTTATTATTGTATTTTTTTTAAAATTATTATACTGCTTTAATCGTTTAGCTAATGTTGGTTTGTCTAACAAGCAGATGTTAGGCGCAATCACGGTCCCATGATTGGGATTTTAGGTCGTGACACAAATCTTTAAGTCTTGAAAAGTAAACTGACACAGATGATGTTTCCTGAGATGGAGTTGCTATCTCCTTGTGTAGATTGAAAGTTCTTAATCCATAAACTTTATTGAGTCTTTCCGGGAGATCTTCCAGACTATTTGAGCACTTGATTCATACATGATCCCTCCAAGAAGGCCTTTAGCCACTGAATTCATGATCCAAGAAAGCACAATAGTATTGACTTGTTTCCAATAATTCCACATTGTCTCTGGAAACCTTTCTTTCTTGCAATGTACCATCAACCATGCCTAGTTCATTTCTTCCTAATAAAGCAACTCGCATAGACCTAAATCAGATATAATAGTTCTCAACACCAGTCAATTGGAAAAAGATAATCTGAATTTCACTCACATCGACTGAAATAGGGGATGATTATAATCAATCCAAATGGCATGATTCCCAAAATTTTGAGTCACATACTCAACATTGATTAGTCTTGGATTCTGCCCCAATTTTTCTTCATTTAATATCATTTTTAGTCCTGGATTCTGCCCCAATTGTTCTTAATTTAATGTCATTTTTCTCCTTTCTTGTTACTTTAAGATTTCATAGATCTAATGACAAACACTTTCAGAGAATATAAAAATAGAATCAAGATCGAAAAGCAAGCTAGAATTTCGAGCTTGAAAGCTCTGATAATATGTTCTAATTCACTGTGTATAAATGAATTAAGCTTTAGAATTAAGAAGAAGGTAAAATCTTGTTGAGAGAGAGAAGAAATGTAGAAGAATTTCATTCCCTAAAAATCAACATAATACTAGACTACAAACCGACTTTACATACACTCCTTAACAATGTATTTTCTAATAACTTAACTAATTCCTAACTTCACTAACGGCTAACAATAACTTACCTCTGTAAAGACTTTTACACCCTTATTAAACTTCAGGATAGAAGAGCCATTTTTTGTCTTAAATCTGAGAGTAGCTGGACTACAGTATTTCTATACGGGAAATTGACATCAAGTGACGACATATAATAGGAATTGATAAATTTTTATTCAAAAATTAGGATTAGCAACTCAAGTCCAAGAAAAAAAGGCATTTTATAACCAAATCCCAAGAAAACCAACAAAGAATATTTCGCTTCTATATTAATGCTTAAATTAGGCTAGTGTTTGGACATAAATTTGGTTGAAACTTGAAAATTGAGTTTTTAAAGTTGTGTTGAAGAATAATTTTTGAAAGTTAAAGTTGTGTTTGTACATGCATTTTTATTTTAAAAAAAGTTAAAGTTTTATGAGTGGAAGAAAAAATTTCACCCAAAAACTGTCCTAAACCAGTTTTTGGGAACTTGAAAATTTTTAATTATTTTTTTAAACTGATCACTCTTAACTTATTTCTTGGTTCTCTCTATTACATGAACAAAAATTTTTTCAAATATTTTTCAAAATAAGGCGCCAAAATCTATGGCAAAACGGATCCTAGGTATCCCTCAAAATGGTAATTATCTACTCTTCAAAAAACCACCATTGAAAAGCTCCACTATCGTAAAAATTTCATCGAAAACTATTATTTTAAAAGCAATCATCATCACTTTTGTCCACAGATACTCACACCTTTTTTCCACTCTCAACTTATTTCCCGGTTCTCTTTTTTCTCTCAAAACCCTATCTGAAAGAATCATCAAATCATTAATAAATATCGCTTAAAACCCAACAAGACAACATTGTCAGCGGATTGACTGATTTTTTCTATGTTGGGTTAATTTTTGCTACTTTTTTCTTTTTGTGAAGTTGACTCAGGTGTTATGCACTATGATACACAAAATAATACATCTAAAATTGTGCTATAGACTGAAATATTGTAACGACCCGACGGTTATTTCGAGAGTTATAGCCTTGTTCTTCCATTACCTGGTTCTGTTGTGTTCTTCAGCTGTATTTTGACTTATCGGGTTAGTTGGTTCGGGTTCAGAGTGATTTTGGAGTGAGTTGAGACACTTAGTCTCTTGTGAGAAGGTTTAAGTTGGAAAAGATGACCGGATGTTGACTTATGTGTAAACGATCTCGGATTTGAATTTTGATGGTTCTGTTAGCTCCGTTAGGTGATTTTGGACTTGGGAGCACGTTCGATATATGATTTGGAGGCCCGTGGTAGAATTAGGCTTGAATTGGCGAAAGTTAGAATTTTGGAGATTTTGGTCGGTAGTGGAAATTTCGATATCGGGATCGTAATGGATTCCGAAAGTTGGAATAGGTTCGTGGTGTCATTTTTGACTTGTATGCAAAATTTGAGGTCATTCGGACGTGGCTTAGCGGGTCTCGTCATCGTTTGTGGAATTCAAAAGTTTAGAAGTGCTTAGGCTTGAATCCGAGTGTAATTTGGTGTTTTGATATTATTTGGAGTGATTCGAAGGTTTGACTAAGTTCGTATGATGTTGTGGGATATGTTGGTGTCGATGCCCCCTTTTTCCTCGCGAAATCGGGTTTACGACATTCATGAAAGACAACTCTATTCCCGTTTGAGAATTGGGTTTTGGATTTGGAGAGTCGCCACCTAATGATTATAGTGCATTAGGACACTTTGAGAAAAGAATTTGAGATGAAAACCAGAGTTTGGGTAAGGGCTAGAAATTATCTTGAGGGGAAGGTATTAGGCACCCCCCAAGATCCACTAGTGTGGTTCCCGGCCATGCTATAATTGTGACTTTAAATGCAAACAACAAGTAGACAAGCAAGCATTGCGAATACGATGAAATCACTCACATAACAATTGCAAATAAAAAACACAAAAAGGATTTAAAAGTGCTGAAATCTGTAAGGAAGTAGTTTTATAATCACATAAAGGTGTGAGAGTAAAGAAGGGGTCAAATAATTGATGCAAGCAACTTAAAAGAAGTAAAAGAAGCGGAAGTTGAAAATTGGACAGCTTTTATTATTCTGAAAATAACAAACTAATAAAGAGGAAAGGGGGTCCTAGGTTTATATATCACATGGATCATTTACACAACACATGTATCCAATTGTACGCGTAGTGTTATCGTGTGATCATTATCTCCATGTCTACCCTTCCCACCCCGTTAAGGTATTAAAGCGCGGAATGGTATCGTTACTTATTGCATGCTATTACCCGCCCCAATCCTATCAGTCCCGGAGGCAAATGGACTACTAATCCTAAAGGGAAAGGGGTTTGGGGCTTTCAGAAGTTTTCAAAGGACAAAATGCTAGGGCGTCAACCAAAACACATAAGTGCAAATAGAGGGAATCAGGCAAGCAAACAGGGCTCAAATATGCCTCCATAAACCAGCAAAAAGTCATAAAGTTTAGCATGTCTTATACGTACTGCTTTTGGTCTTAATTAAAAAGCGACGAGCGGACTGATTCAACACATATTTTTAGGCAAAAAGTCTACATTAGGCTTACTCGAATGCAGTTGACTAAAACCGATCTGATTGTTAGTCCTCTAAGTATTGGTTAGAACTAGGCGTGATGTATACTGATTTTAGAAAAAGATACATACTGAAAAGGGGTTACCAATTTTAACAGGACGTTACAAGTTCAGCAGTTAATATTACCTCTATTCAGATTCGAGATTTCCTATAGGCATGCTTTCTATATGTATGCTGATTTGGACACCTTTTGGACGTTAACAAAGGTCCTAGGAACATGGTATCTATATGCAGCTCTTGTTATTAAACCTACAAACTGTTTGCCTAGTGATGTTTATAAATGCAGAATACTGTAGTCTATAGACCGTATTTTATAGAACAATTAGAAGTTAATCCTGTAGGCAGGATATCTATGCGCGGAGACGCAAAAATTATGAGTGAATCCTATAGGCATGATTTCTAGGTATGAGTTTGCAGAAGTTAAAAGTTAACCTATAGGCATGATATCTTGGCGTATTGCAGAAATTAAAAGTTAACCCTATAGGCATGATATCTAGGTGTGAAATTTCAGAAATTAAGAGTTACCCTATACATGATATCTAGGCGTATTTGCAGGAATTAAAAGTTAACCCTATAGGCATGATATCTAGTTGTGAAATTGCAGAAATTAAGAGTTACCCTATAGGCATGATATCTATCCTTGATGAATAAAAATAAATCCCAACCCCCTTTTTTACTAATGTTCCCCGATCTTGTACAAGTTATTACAACCCAAAAGAAATGAACTGGAATTAAAAAAAATACATCAGAGATCCTCAGCTACATACGAGTAGCCTAATCCAGACTTGAGGCCTAACAATATGAGATTGAGCCACCTCCGAGATTCTGATTTCCAAGCCTTCTCTCATCTAGGGTGTTTCAGAGATCCAAGGGATTTCAGGAATCCCGGGCAGTGCATACACCCAAGATGTTAATCAAAAATTGAGTTGTGCAGTGTGGAAGGGCCAGCACTTATGTATCCAAGTTCAGAGGGAGCTCAAGGGTCCCAAGGCAAGGCTCACACAAGAGGGGCAGAACTTAAGTTCTAAGAATGAGTGTAAGTGCAATAGAAAGGGTAGGGGGCTACCCAGGCAGGCTGGTGGTCATGCCCAGCCACAAAATAGACTTGCACACCCCTGACCAAACCTGTTGATCAAGCATTTAGAGAGTAAAGACCTACTGGAGGTCAAGCAATAGCCTGAACAATAATTAGAAATACTGGCAAGCCAAGGCTGTTACTCGGCACACACAATAAGGGAGTGGGGGTGGGAAATTGACAAAGCTTAGGGCCCAAAGGGGTCCAGTTCATATTCACGGACAATGATTTCAGACATTGCCATGTTTCTGAACCATAACTTAAAGCATATAAAGGGGTATGGGGGTTTGGGATTCATAAGGTAGCAAATAAATAACACACGACTGACAAAATGCACACATAGATAAACTTTAAATTGCAA